AATATGAATAAGATTGCCGTAAACGGTAAAACTGCTTGTGCTACAAACCAGTGAGTTCATAATTAAGATAATACACTAAAATAATATGGTAAGACACACCACTTTGCAATATCAAGCAGCAAAACGAGCTGTTTTGTACAACTAAAATAGCTGGACTTGGATGAACACTGGAAGCCAGACATTACATTTTAAAAATGAACAATTTTACAAATGGCCACGCCCACTCTTACGGGAAAAATAAGGTGGATAGATCAAATACAAAGTGTTCGAAATTTCTTAAAATATTTATTAAAGAGTCCATAGACATCACCTTACATGCTAATTAAATTAGCTTATGTTTTCAGTTAAGACTGTAAACTTATGCTTGCATAAGCTCATATTCCTACTTACAATTCATGTGTCGTAAAACAATCATTAAAAATGAAAATCTAATTACATATTACAACAATGGAAGTCCATATCTCTCACCTGACAAAGAGAATTCATGCAGTTTACACGTTCATACAGTCACAGTATGAAGCATCAAAGTGAATATCTCCCAGACTGCACTCTCTGACCGGAGGGAACAGACTCTTAATGCTACAGGAAGTGTTCCAGAACTTTCTAAGTGCAATATTTCATTCACATCAATTAAAAGTAAGACAGGAACAAAAAAACTGGACTTATAAATTGTTAATGTTCATCTTTGGCCTCAAGTATACAAGTACTACAAATAGCTAAATAGCAAAACTGTCATAAGAATTCAGAATTCATGCGTTTTGAATGAGATTTAACCATGGTAAGTGGACGGCCCTTCCCAATCCTGGCCTATGTGGTTTCGGCTGGATGGCCTGCGACTGCCCATGAATCTCTTCAGTGTTTCTGAGGAACTAGGACGTAACCAGGGGTCTGTGGCAATGGTGTTGATGGAAATGCGCCGGTTGGTTGAAGGAGGAGTCTGTGGCCATAGCTCCTCCCCTTCCTCTGTTGACACTTCCCCTAGATAGCACAAAAGATACATATCTCAGTACTTCTAAGTACATTTATGGCTTTGTGTTTAGCAAGCTAACAGCTTAGCATAGCGCTAACTGATTAAGAAAAGCTTTTGAGTAGCTAAAACAAGATATCACAATTTACATTTTTTTACATCGTGTACTTTGGATTCTAGATATATCCACCCCTAAAAATCAGGCAAAACAGCAAACTGCAGTTGGTCGTGTTAAGCCCAAAGTATTCTTTATTTTGCGTACGGTGCACATGCCATAAATGTCAACATCAGCATAGTACTGTATGTGTGCAGCCCGATGTTGCAAACCTTGCATACTCCGTAACCCTCAGCTCACATATACGCCTTGAATTTTTTTGAACTAATTACTTTGTCCACAAGGTGGCAGCACTGGCCCAGGACATTGCAATCGAAATAGAAATTGATCGATGACAACAACAATAGACAAAACGCTTGCGTGAGAGGGTTAAGAGACACCCACAACTCTAGTTTAAAAGAATACAAAGACATTTTTATCACCCATAACTTCTGGAGAGAAATAGCACAGACACTGGACAAAGTTGAATCTTTCTATTTCGTATGTGTTTAGTCATTCAATTAAATGGAGTAAACTTTGAAAGGCTATGCGTTCTGCTGTATGCATACGCTAAAGGGCCCCAATATACTTAAAGCGAAATCAAAGAATGAACTGATGTGATGTCATTTCGAACAAACATTTCGATCAAACCAAAACTGAGTTCAAAAGAGTTTGCCAAAGAAAACTTTCCAGAAAAGTTTGCTCTGACTGGTAAACACATTAAAACTACCATTCAAACTAAAACTGTTATATGGATGTTTGCTAACAATATACTGCTGCTCAGTTGTTTGAAACAATATATTTTTAACACTAAGCAAAGTGTAAAACTCTGCTGTGCGTATATCAAGACCTTAAGCGACCCCATCAAAACTAAAGTTAGGGTGACCATTAGGGCTGCAACGATAAATCGATGCAGAATCGATTCGTGGATGGATTCTGAGATCTTCCGAATGCATCGCGATTCTCTCTGGAATCGATTCTGATCTTAGATTTTAACAGCAGATGGCGCTCTAATCTAGTTTTTATCCGCACACTCAAATGCTCATGAAAAAATGCTGAAGAGCGCTTGTGCATTTGGCTGAGTCATGTAATTTCACCTCAGCTCAGAATGATTTTATGACGCGAGATTAATGTAAACACAGCCCACTGTGAACACCCTTGTAATTCGCTTCAACCTTTTCGAATTTTATGAATGATTATTTTAGGTTCAAGTGTGTGCAAGGATTTGGAACCAAGCCGAGTACGGCATGCAGCACCATCTGCTGTTCAAAACTAAGCTCAGAATCGACTAGAGAAAGAATCGCGATGCATTCGGAAAATCTCAGAACAGATGCGGAATCATTTCTCGATCCGCGATGCATCGATTTATTTTCCCAGCCCTAGTGACCATACGTGCCCTTTTTACCAGACACATACTAGCCCGGATTTCTATATTGCCTAAAATATCCAGGTTTTGGCTTTGTTTGCACTGTACAGACTGATCGGTGTTATGACATCGAAGTACTGTGAGAGCTGTAGAGAGCAGACGGCTCATTATGCTTTCGAATCGCTCTTGTGGTACTTTGATGCCATACCCTGATCCGTCTGTGCAGTGCCGCTTCAAGTCAAACACCTAATATGTAAGCGCATTTGCATTGCCTTGACGTTCTCTGTAGATCCCTCCTCCTCACATGCCATGATTGGTCGATTATATACAATGCCTGCATGTTATTGGTCAAACTACTTTTCGATCATTACCTTCAGCAAGTATGAAAACAAAGCCAAAACCTGGATATTTTTGGCAATATAGAAATCCTGGCCAGGACGTGTCTGGGAAAAAGAGCATGTGTGGTCACCCTACTAAAGTATACTTTAGGTTTTACATGTTGGTCTCTTCCTGTCAGAGTGTGCCAGATTAAGCTGGAGTGTTGACCAGACTTAACGCCAGTAGTCAAATGTAGTCTGGATGGACAAGACTAACCAACCCTAGGTGATCTCCTTTCGGATTCAGAGCTCCTGACCTGATCTCCAATCATGTTCTCTCATGTTGTTCAGCGATGTCATCTTGTTCTTTGTGCGCTCTCTCAGCCGCTCAATTTCTGTGCTGGTTAGCGAGTGCAGAGACTGACTGTCAGGACTGCTGTCAGGTCGAGCGTACCGGTTTACCACATCCTACCGACAAAACAAAAGTACAGTCATTCAGCACTGGTCAGTCATTCGATGCACATTCTAGCTCTGTTCCAAATCCCAACCCAATGGCTTCTAAATAGTAAGCAGTCTTTAAAGATACCTTGTTTTGACCAAATTCTTAGGCAGGATGCATGTAATCCCATAATGCATTGCAACAATTGGAGTTGTTGCCTATAGCTGTGTCTCATTTAGAAGGCTGCGCCCTCCGGAGGTCGCATTCGAAGGCTGCATACGTCATCGAGGCTGTCTCATTTCAGAAAAGCAAGTAGGACACTCCGAATGCGACCTTCGAATGCGACCTTCTTTCACAGGAATTCGGAGGATGCATGAGGTGTATCCTTCGCTGCTACAGATAACCCACAATTCTTTGCGTCGCCGTAAACAACCGTTGTTAATTTGAAAAATACTGTACGTACGCTGCAGCTCCTCAAACATTGAACAAAATAAAACAAGTAAAAGCATTTTTTTTTTTTTTAATTACTTTCCAAATTTAGAAATCATTTTCCTTCATTTAAGTAGTGTGAGAGCGCAACGGTGCTCTAAATGTATTGGCATAGCAACGTGATACTTCCTGTTTCCTTTTCCGCCTGTCCTACGAAGGCCGTCTCGTTTAATTCTAGGTTGAGGACACTTCGTATATGCATCCTACAGAGGATGCGACCTCCAGAGGATTCGACCTCCGGAGGGCGCAGCCTTCTAAATGAGACACAGCTTCTGTAGAGCGTTCCAAATCAGTCAATTACAAGGTTCCACTGTACTGCTAGATGGACACGTTTGACAGTTGCATTCACATCTCATGTCTTTTGCAGAATCTCACACAATATTGCATTCTAAAAATGTGGTGCTCAAGTTTAAAAGTTCAACTTTTAAAAAGTGTGACTCTATACCTTCCTTTTTCCCCATTCTACTGCCCCACGTTCTGCACAAATGGCCCCTTGGAAGGTAGCTGCCCATGTAGGAAGTAGTCAGCAAGGCAGCTAGGTTTCAGAACAGAGCTAATGACTTTGCCTTGGTCAAGTGAAGTTGTAGTTGTGTATAACTGGGAACTCTTACTTCAGACATGTCTGTCTTCCTAACTGCCGGTCTCGCTCTCTGGTCACGCCGGGATTGCAGAAGGAATGAATCGCCACTGGGTTCTGTGTAGAAACAACTGATTGGTTATTTACAGCTGACAAATGTTCAGCAACAGCAGGCTCTGCAGTCCCTCCTCTCTCGAGATTCTCTCTAGCTCCATCATGCACGAGTCAAGCAATCAGAGCTTGGTAATTGAAACGGAGCAAATAAAATGGCATTTAATGGATGAGACTGAGACTGTTTTGGAAACTCATTTACAAGGTGGCTGCCGATCTCTCTGGGGTGCCGCTGAGGACAGGCATTATCCTCACCCCAGAGTCAATCTCTCTTCTGTCTGGTATTCATAGCTGTCATCCGTCTCTGGTGGCAGTGACAGCAGCTGTCTTACGGCGGTGTCACGCATTGTCTGCTGCTCATACTGACACATACACAACCCTATAATTGTAAAAACTTCCCATAGACGTCTATTGTTTCTAAATGATGTTAATCGATATGCCCCAACTCTAATGCTATCCCTGAAATGTCTTAAATTAGATATCACATTATATTACTAAATTAAAGATGAACTACAGAACTAAATATCACAATACCAAGTTTGGCCTTCACCAGTATATCAAAACACTTCATAGCATAGGTTATTATGATGATAGTCCACCCAAAAATGAAAATACAGTCATTACTTACCCTTACGTCATTCCAAACCTGTATGACTTAATTTTCTTCTGTTTAGCACAAAAGAAGAGATTTTGAGGAATGTTGGTAACCAAGCATTTGGATATTTCTCAAAATTATTAAAATTCCACAAAAGAAATCGTCATACAGGTTTGGAATGACATGAGTGTGAATAAATTACCACTTTTATTTTTGGGTGATTCCTTTAAGTATACTGGTGGGTGTAATCTAAATGTAATCTAAAAGTCTAAACTTTGCATGTGAAAAAGCATTGGTGACATACATTTGTGAGGAAAACACAACCCTCCGTTCTTCATTTTATGGGAACTTACCAATAAAGGCACTCTCTGAGTCTAACAGCAAGTGTCTGCCTGGATCCTGTGCAGAATTCAGCCTCTGGGGGGATCAACACATCAATAAAGATGTCAAGTCAATAACCAGAACCATCAGACAGCGCTAACAGAGTGCAGATACCCCCTTAAAGGGCTCACAAAAATGGGTCACAGAAAAACAAACAAGATTTTTTTGTGATGCACATGCACCAGTGTGTAGACTCTACTCACTTGCTCATGATGCCGCTGCCCTGAAGACACCATGTCAAAGTAATCTGCCCAGGAAATACAGGTACTGTATGAGTCTGCAGTTTTTTAATGTAATTTTCAGTAATTATACATTTTATTTATATAGTACCATTCAAAATGTTTTTTTAAAGAGGTCATATGATGCGATTACAATTTTTCCTTTCTCTTGTTACAAGCTCTTGGTGCATAAAGAAGATCTGTAAAGTTGCAAAGACTAAAGTCTCAAATCCAAAGAGATATTCTTTATAAAAGTTAAGAGTCAACCACGCCTACCTAAAATGGCTTGTTCTAACACGCCCCCACATATCTACGTCACGATGTGGGAAGATTTGCATAACGCCGCCCAAATGTTCATGCAAAGAAAGAAGGCGTAACTTTTATTCTCGCTGTAGTATTGTTGCCGCTGTCGCCATGTTGTGGAGACGCTGTGGGTTTCATTATGAAAGCGAAACTACTTTGTTTGGCCTTCCAAAA